CTCCACCCCTCCAACTGACAGCGACTCGAATTGCCCTCTCTGTTCCTCCTGGCATGCCTCTGTCCCCAACGTTAGGCGCGCCAACGTCACCTGCCATCGAGTCACCAACCTCCCCTCCCACGGAGAGGTCAGCCAAGCCAGGCTCACGACGCCAACTAGGGGACGCCGCTGCAAGGCTCTTTCGAAGTGCCCGGCGCCCCTCGGTCAGGGTATATCACTCAGACTCAGGCTTGCGGTTCGGTCCACCGGCCGCTCGTGGGCGTGCAGAGGAGGATCCATCTCCAGAGAATGCTCGATTGGACGATGAGTTTTCGGAGATTCCTCCACAATATACGGAGCATTAGACCGTACGAGTACTAGGTCGTCTTATATATGAGTCGAGAGGGTAGTAGTAGAAGAAACCGAAATGCGGATCAGACCTGGCGTGCTTTGTTTGTATGTGTAGCATCGCAGTACTACCTTGCACGGTGGCTGGCGTTTTGGCGTCTTATGCCCCAACCATCGAGTGGGCGGTGCGGCATTCGTTTCAGAAATCACAACCGTATGTCTGTCGTTCCTTCTTTATATTGCCCGCTGGCGTATTGACTGCTTCATTTTCACGCAGGCCATCGGCAGAATCGAACCACAAAGCGATGCATGTTGCTGCGCTTACGCATCGCACTGCCTCATGAACCAAAGATGTGTTCTCGAAGAGCACATGACCTGGAAAACACACGCAAGAGACTTGCCTGTGGTTCATGAATCTTGTTGCGCAATTAGCAGGGGGAACGCGTATAACCAAGTTTTGGCCTCCGTCCTAACAAACTCTTTGCTTGCCACAGCGGCACACTCGGACAGACCTTCGACGCATACAGAACTAGGTTACGCACACCCACCCGCCTGCTAGCAACCGGATGCTGTATGTCTGGCATCTTCCGAATATCGTTTTCCCCCACTTTACCCCATGGTCTCTGGCGCTCGGCCTCCCCAGCCTGCCCGAGGAATGCCGGCCCCAATGACTACTGGGCACCGTGCGTGGCCGAGGTACCACCCAACATAGACCATCCCGGACACTCCTTCAACCAGAATCAGACAGCAGACGCTCTTTCTGGACAACTCTTACTAGTACTTCATGCGCCAGAGCCATGGCCTCTTCGCCCGTTATCCTCGTCGACGATGCTGACCCGGCCATCGACTACGAAACGCCCGAGCTATGGAAACACTTCTCCGAACAGGACAGCGTCCACGGTGCCACGTACTCCGCAGGCTTCACAAACGCTACCGCGAAGCTGAGCTTCAACGGTGTGCTATATCTCTCTCAGCCCATCCATAATCGCCTTGCGAGTTACTGACAAGCAAGGCACCAGGTACCTCCGTCGTGGTCTACGTTGCAATCATCCCGCCGACGGGGTTTCTGGTGAACGATATCATGCCTCCCAGCGCCATCCTGACGCTCGACGGCGAAGACCCTACCCCTCCCGTCACCGCAGGGACGGCGGCCAATTCGTCCGATCCCATGTACGGTTTCCCGCTCTATACCCAGGGGAACCTTACCGCCGGAGAGCACACATTGGAAATCTTTGTCTCGCACGGAGATGAGGGGAACAACTGGCCCTTCATCCTCGACTACATCCAGTACACGCCAGTCGACGGCCCGACTGCGGGCCTAGGAGAGTCGCCTCCGTCCGCGACCGATAATCAATCCTCCCTCGTCGGCCCGATCCTTGGTGGCGTCGTAGGAGGGCTCGTGGTGCTCTCGCTATTGGCCTTCGCGGTGTACCGCTGGATCGTCAAGAGGAGACAGAAGCGGGAGGCGAAACTTGACCGGCATGTCAGCGCTGTGTACCTCTTCGCTGAAGGTACGGTACTTCCTACTCTACAGACCCAATATTCCTCTCATCAGAGCGTTTTACATATCAAAACTCTGTTCAGACCTCAAGCGGTCGCCATCGTCTGTGTCGGATCCTGGCACTGCTACGAGTGTATTTCACTCGGATTCAGGAATACGGTTCGGTACCACCGCCGACGGCCAATGCGCACCGTTGCCAAACGGGGTTGAGGATGTGCCTCCCCAGTATACAGAAGCCTAGGTTCACGCATTCATTTACAACTGGTCTACATCCGCTCGCCGATTGCCCACTCCCACCTGACATTCATTCGTCTAATACGTTCGTTTCTCCTTCGACATCCGCTGTGAAATCGAGGTATATTCAATTCATCGCTGAGCTTGCTCACTTACTTTGTTATCGGAGGAAGAAGCTACTTGTGTGGGCCTGTCATCAGCTAGTCAGTCTTTCAATAATGCATCGTCCATCAAATCACTGTCCGCGCAAAATGCCATTATGTTCGTACACACTATCCATACACCACCTCGTCGCAACAGCCTCCATCCCCCGCATTCACAAGCCCACTAAACTCCGGCATGTCGCGGTGAAACTCACACGGCTGCCTGCCGATCGCGATCCCCTCTCCCGCCTGCACCCTGCGCACGACCCAGTCATCTCTCCCCTCCACGCGCACCTTCACGCACAGCTCGTCGTCATCGTCGATAAAGTGCAGCTCGCCGCAGACCCCGTCCACGAAGGGCATTGGGGCGAACTCGTCGTCCTCCACGGCGTCTGGCTCGCGCAGGAACGGGTGGTAGAGTGCCTTCCGTGCTGTCATCCGGCGGATGGACTCGGGCTCCATTACCTTCTCGAGGAAGTCGAGCGCGACGTCGATCTCTTCGGAATACCTGTCCGCTTCGGACTGGGTGGGGGAAGAGCCCCGCGGCTCACCTGGAGAGGAGGGCGAGGACCGTCCATGTGAATACCCTGATGATGAGGAAGGTGGAGGGCGTGTGCGGCTGCGGTATTCAGGGAGGGTGTAGGGATAGTAGGATGGTTCCGGTTCTGGCGGTTCGCGCAGAGAAGGATTTTGTCGTTCGACAAACTCTTTCCAAGATATGCCGTCCTGCGTGAGGGACGGAACGTTCGACTGGAATAATCGACCTAGGGGCCCATAGTATCACAGCGTGTTGCCACTGGAAGAGTTACTGGTCAACGCACTGTGCAAAGTAGCCGTCTTTTCCATTCGTCGCCTCCCGATGATCGTGGCAATCTCCATGAGAGCCTCAGTGTCGTCGTTGGACTGGAAGAGAGGGAACTTCTTCGTTAGAAAGAACAAGAGGATCATGCCTGCCGACCAAACGTCGATGGCTAGATGCACGAGAGATGAGTTGCAATGGTCGCGCTGACGATACACATACACATACCTCCCGTCTGCTCTCCACACTTCAAGAGGACCTCGGGTGCGCGAAAGCCTCTTGTACCCGCACGGTTAGCCTTGGAATGTGGTCTGTCCAACAGCATTGTCCAGCAACATAGCACGAGACGAGGAATACGATGCGCCCTACCGAGTGTCCTTCTCAGGGTATCCTACCTTGTCGGAAGGTCCTGCACTCCGCATACGGCCCTCTTTCTGCATCCGCTTGATGTGGTCAACGTCGTACTCTCCCCTGGGCTTGAGGCGGCCATGAGGGGATTCACGAGTCGGTGGAGTGTGCAAACACGCTCCCAGCGAAGGACCGTGTTCTGCACGCTGAGATCTTCAAGGTTAGCACGAGAGCAGCGTACGAAGTAGGGAGAGTCTTCTGCACACGTACACAGGCCAAGCCGAAGTCGCACAGTGTGCCTATGCCAGTCCGAGGATCGAAGAGAAAGTTCGCAGGCTTGACGTCGCGATGTATGATCCCTCGTGCATGAATGTCGCGCAAAGCGCGAAACATACAACGGAAGTACGCTCTGATACCTTCCAAAGGGAGATACCTGAAGTAATCCTGCATGTATGCGTGAGTACCGCGCATATAGCCCATCTGTGAATGAGACGCACTCGGAAGTCATCGTTCTTATGGTAAGGCATGATGGCCACGACCTGATCCTGGTTGCGAAATGCAGTAATAAGCTGGGAAACATGCCGGCAGCCTCTGCAGTCTTCCATGATGGATATCTCGTTGCGTATTCGTTCGGGTCCACTGGTCACGTAGATCCGCTTGACGGCGACGAAAACCTTGCTTCCAGGAGGATGTGGTACGGTTTGGTAGTATGCAGACGACGTTGGTGGATGGTGCCCGTGCCATTCGGAATTGTCCCACTTGGTATGGTAACCGAGGTCAATAGCTTTGTACACTGCGGAGAACGTGCCCGTTCCGAGTCGGTCTATGATCTTGTAGTCTTCTGTGAGTTCAGGAACAGCGGACTCGAGATCCATGATCTCTTCCTCGATTTCTGCTTGCTCATCGCGGGATTTGAGGTAAATGGTCAACTCTTCGTCGGTGTCGCAGTCCTCATCTTCCTCCGACTCCTGTTCTTCGTCTTGCTCCATCTCTTCTTCTCCGTCGCTGAGCATTTCCTCGTCCACCTCTATTGGCTTCTCGGGCACGTTGCCGGTGGACGCGCCGTACTGGTATGCAGATGTCTGTGCGGGGGTGTAGAGCTGAGCGAGATGGGTGTGGTACCGTTCAAGTTCGGGCAGGTTGAGCTCGTTTAGGGGGTCGTCCGACGAAGGTTGTTCTGCAGCGTAATGGCGAGCCAGCTGCTGAGCTTCCATGAGCTCCCTGAGGTATGCGCGATTCCGCGTATCTGAAGAAGACACTTCAAGCGGGTTGGAGGAGTGTCGCGAGAGAAGAGCGGTAGCAGCCATGTATCCAAGAAGACGAACCAAAAAAGAGTGTGGTTCCAAATGCAAGGGTCTCTGAGAAGCAGAGAGGAGACGGACAAGCAGAAAGTGGCGGGAACGGGAACGGCGATCACTGACAAAAGCACTTGAACAACCCCGCCACCGACGCGTCTCAATCAACCCAGACGCGTCTCGGCAACCGGCCCGGACACGACCACTTCAGCTCGACTCAAGGGCACCTCTTTCATGCTTGTTCCATTCATGAAATTGCTTCATTTGAAGTTATACAACCCTGTACGCCTTAGGATGCATGAAATGATTTCTGAGCCATATGTAACCGCAGGTCTCGAACATGCAAAAAGGAATGACCACCGCAGGACTCGAACCTGCAACCTTTTGGTGTGACCGTGACGTTCTGTGGAAGTCACATTGTAGCCGTCGGCGATCGAAGCCAAACGCGCTACCATTGCGCCAGGTAGCCATGCTGAGGGGACATGATAATTTAAGTACAATGTCATGTTTCTCACTGGCGCGCTAGTATACTTACGCTGGCGGCGAAGGGCCAAGTTTCTGTTTCTGCGAGTGCTGCCTTCTGCTGACCCATGTCGTCAGTACGAGGAAGCTCGTCAATCTGAGCTAGATGCTGCACTACGACTTCCGCTACTACGCCTTCCAAGTCCTCTCTAGCCCTGCTTTTCAGCAAATAGCACCCCTTGTCTTCCTTGTCTTCGTCCCCACACTTGTCCTCGTCCTAAACTCGTACCGTCATTCGATCGCAGCCACCGTCTTGATGGTCTTCGACTCTCTGGCTTTCATCTTGCCCTGGAACTGGTCGGATGGATCTTCATCTGCTGCAGGCTCGGATAAGAAGAAGCTGAAGAGGAGGCACGTTCGTACCCGCGATGACCAGGTTGCGCGAGCTTCTAGCCAAGGTGCGTTTCGCCGATGCTGCCCTTACCCCCATATCAATGGAAATTCACTCGTTGCCTCAGAAAGCTCCTACGATGGCTCAAGTGAGGATGGATACTATCCCGGACTGGTTAACATCTCGGGCACGTATTGCTTCATGAATTCCACCCTACAGGTACGTGCAAGTATATTGCCTTCAGCCACCCTCTCCATGTCATACCTACCCATCGTCTAGGCCATGGCGTCCCTGTCATACCTTCAGCCTAAATTAGAGGAAGTGCATGCGAGAGCTGAGGCTTTGGATGTGCCCACCCCCGTTATCGACTCCCTAAGAGAGCTCGTTCGCCGTTAGTACCTTCCGTCCGTTCACGTGTACCTCACTTGACGAAGCAGATGACAGTCCTCAACACGCCCTCTTCGTCCCCGCGTGCGATACGCCCTGTTGACATCATTGCCGCGTTGTCGAATCACAATCCGGGCAAGCATAATTCCTTATTCTCCTCTCGCGAACATCAGGACGCGCAGGAGCTTTTCCAGCTCCTTTCTGAGTGTATCAAAAGCGAGGCGTCCGCTGTGGCGAAGGAGAGCCGGCGAGATCGAGGTTTGGGAGGATTGACGAAGGAAGACGCTTTGACTGTTCGTGACCTCAGCCAGACGGTGTTCGACGGCCTCACTGCGAACAGGCGCAGTTGCATGGAGTGTGGGTACACGGAGGCTGTCATGCATTTCCCGTTTGATAATTGGCAGCTCGCCGTGCCTCGCATGGTGGTATGTATAAACCTCTACAATTCTTTCGCTTCCTACTCATATTGTTTACTCAGGCTGCATGCCGTCTCGAGGAATGTCTCGAGGATTACACGAGGTTGGAGCTTCTCAGCGACTGTATTTGCCGCAAATGTTCTATGCTTGCCACCTACAAGCGACTAGAACAGGAGGCGGAGCGTTTGACCGAGGCGTCTTCGGCATCGACTGACCCATCCTCTTCCAAGAAGAAACGCGCTCGGGATGCTCGGAAACTCCTAGGCCGCGTGAAGGCTGCCTTGGATGAGGGTCGTATAGAGGAGGACATCAAGGGTGTCAAGATGGAAAAGGTATTCAGTCGTGCATCTACTAAGCAATCCATGGTCGCTCGCGTAAGTCACGCCGCCACCTCCCTGATTACGTCGCTAACCCGTCCATAGCCTCCACCTGTACTCGCTCTTCACCTCAACCGCTCGATGCACTATGGTCACTACGCCGCTAAGAATAACTGCCGCGTCGTCTTCCCAGAAATCCTAGACCTCACTCCATATACTACCTCTGGCCAGCTCTCGACCCAGCCATCCGCACCCATCTCGGCCCCGCCACCTCCAATCCCTGCCCAACGATCCATCACACCCACACCATCCACGTACGCCGTCCCCCGTACGCTCTACCGCCTCTCCGCCGTCGTCTGCCACTACGGCCAGCATTCCTTCGGGCACTACGTCTGTTTCCGGCGGAAGCCCCGCCCCCTCGCCACCGGGGAGCGCCGCTTCGCGCCTCCCAGGCTCGCGTGCCCGCTAGGGTGCGATTGCGCACGTTGCGAGCGGTACGGGCCCGTTCGGGACGAGGATGACTCGGGCGCGCGCCCCGGACGGGGCTGGTTGCGCATCTCCGACGACAGCGTGCAGGAGTGCGGCATCGAGCGCGTGCTGCAGGAGGGTGCCGGCGCGTTCATGCTGTATTATGAGCGTGTGCAGCAGCCAAGACCGTCCCCGTACTCGGGCTCACCGCGTGGGTCTGAGGAGACTGTCAAGGCGGAGGAGTCGCATGCGTCTGTAACAATCAATGAGGGCGCCGAGTTGCCCAGGAGGGAGAGCAGGCGGAATGGCGATGCCGCTCATTCGCAGCGAAGGCGGGAGAGTAGAGAGCGGCGCGAGGATAGCAGCAAGGTGCTGGGGCCGCGTATCGTGCGGCGGACGTCTGCGCATAGGAGTCTCAGGCCGAGCGCGCCGCCGATGTCGAGGACCGAGAGCTCCAGCTCGACCGCGAGTGCGAAGCCCTCGGTGAACGGCGACGCGAGCCACACGAACGGACGCTCTCATCACTCGCATTCACGCTCACACTCACACTCACGTTCGCACTCGCACCACCACCAATCCCAATCCCAGTCTCGCGACCAACAGCAGCAACATAGTCAACATCATCACCACCAGCACCAGCATCAGCACCACCAACTATCCCGCCCGCACACACCTCCGAACGGTGGGGCAGGACCGCCCGTCTCGCCACAGCGCCCGCCGCTGTCCCCGACGCCGTCGAGCAAGTCGGGGCGGCTCCGGAAGAGCCGGCGGTCCATCTCGCAGCAATCGGACGGGCATCCTACCTCGCCCACCACGACGGCCCCGCCTACGACCCTTCGCGCGTAGTTGCGCGTGAGCTCCGTAGTCGTTCATCTCTGCTTTGCCGCTTTACATTTATTGGTTTAGTCTATCCTCCTGTATGCGACACCTCTCCTCCCTCCCTCCCTCGATCTCCGTACTTTACATCCGACGAATCTCGTTCCTCCTATCCTCTCTCCTCTAGTTATCACCTTGTATATCGTCCTTGTATGGCGCGAATACACATCACTTACCCACTACCATCTGGATCTCACCTCGCATCACACTGGCATCTTACGATGTGGCGGAAACGCAGATAACTTCTTTTGTCAATGCATACATCGTCCACATCCGTCCAGAGTCAACGATCAAGCAAAAATCGTTAAACACCGCTGGTGTCACGCGGAAGAAGCGATACGGGCGAGGTGGATGATCTATCTACATACATATGCGAGAGCGCGAGAAATGGGAGCAGCCGCGAAGAGAGAAGAGGAAGAGTATCCGAGCGAGAAGAGGAGAGATAGATGAGGAACCAGTGTGCGGGCGAGTACACCGGCGCATCGCGCCTTCCTATGCTATGTCACAACAGTACACCTGCAGACCAAAAAGGGGGCAAGGGAGTAGAGACTGGAGTTTGAAGTACTGACAGGCCGGTCCGTGAAACTTGGATTCTGGATCGACGCGCGACCACATCCGCGCCTTCGCGGGATGATCCTGTCATGGTCGCGGGAGGAAAACGTACAACACACAAACACATGCGCAGGGGAACCAGGATCATCGTGCTCTCCTCCGCTCCGACTGTGCAAGAGGAAGAGGCCGCGAGACCACCACGCACAGCGGGCGCTCCCATTCCCGTTCCGTTTCACGGTCAGATATCCAAAGTCAATGTCGAGTCGAGAGGTCGAGGTGTGCCAAACAGTCCAGAGGTGCGATGCCGGCCGACGCGACGCGACGCAGCGCGGCGAGAAGGGCGGAACGATCACCAGTAGATGGTGCGCTCGATGGTGCGCTTGTGTTGCGGCGACGGGCGCGTGTACGAGATGGTGCGGCGCACGCGGGTCACGGTCGGGTACCTACGCACCGACGGGGATGGAAAGAAGGAAGAGGGTTCTGGTTAGCATCAGTCTGTCACGGTCACCACCCCGCCTGCGCGCTCCCACACTGTGCGCCCCCGTGCCGCCTTGCGACCGAAGGTGCGAGAAGGGGGCCGGGCTGGGCGTGTGGGAGGGAGCGAAGGGGGAGGAGGGACTCACCATGCGTGGTAGATGTCTCCGGGCTCGAGCTGGACCTCCACGATTTGGCGGCCCTGCGGGACGTTGTGGATTAGCGCGACACCTTCATTGTCATCATGAGAAGGAACGTACAGCGTAGTCAATGTGAGAGCCGACGACGAGGCCCTCGCGGCGGCCCTGGGAGTGCTGGACGGCGACGATATCGCCAGGCTAGGTGGAGCAAGACGTCAATCCCTCTTGTCCATGGATGTGCTCGCGGCCATACAAAGGCCGTCGCACAAGCAGTAGATACTCACGACAATCTCATCGGAAGCGACGTAGGAAGACATGACTGTGGTCAGCGGGGACGGGGAGACGTTCTCGGGGATTGCGCGTGGGTGCCGGGGCAGGGGCAGCGAGGACAATAACGGGCGCTAGAGGAGCGAAGCGAGGCGAGGCGCGTGCTTGATTGAGCCGAGGGCGACGAGGGCAGCAGCGAAGTCGACGTGGAAGACGACGACGACGGAGGCGTGGGCAGCGAGGGCGGGGGCGAGGGCGAGGAGGTCACCAGAGATGAGGAGGGAGGAAAAAAGAGGCAGAAAGCCCGGGCTTTTATAGATTAGATGGGGCGCGGGCTCGCTTCGCGGGGTGCCCGCACGCGCGAGGCAGCCATGAGGCGCGCCAGTGTCCCTGGCACCGTGCACCATCCACTCCAGTCTCCGGCTCACCGCGAGCTCTGAGTCTGATGCATCGCGACCCGCGCCCGGTCTCTCGCACGGCCATGGCCGCATCCTTGTTCTCGCTCGCCGTTCGCGACGCCATTGTTCCTCTGTGGACGCCTGTCGCGAGCCATTGTGGGCTGTCGCGCGCTCATCTCCGTCGGGTGTGCGGCTCTCGGCGCCAACTTGAAGATCGCGAGGCCGTGGACAGGTTCCGGAGGTCTTCGCGAGCATTCGCTTCCACCTCTGATGCACGACTGTCCGAATGACGAGTCCCCATGCTTGACGGGTGTATTGGAT